GACCCAACTAGTCCAAATCGTTATAGTGACGACACGACCGGTGAGTGCTACGTATTCATTGAAGTATGTAACAATAACCTAGAGAAACCTTTTCGCATTAACTCAGATTTATTTTTTTTCGAACACATCAAAGACCTCAAATTGGATGGTTTGATTAATATCAAAACCATCAGCAATGGCAAAGCCAAACTTGGTTTTGCCAATGCGGTTGATGCCAACAACTTTATAATAAACAATGATTTTGGTCCAAAGTCTTGCAAGACCTACATCCATAGAATTTTCACAGAAAAATTTGGGATCGTAAAAAACATTCCACCTTCAATTAAGAAAGAGGACTTTCTCAACTCAGCTACCTCTGATATTGAAATCATTTCTGTTACAAGAATCCTCAGAAGAGACCCTGCAGACAGAGAAATGTTCATCCCAACAAACAGCCTAAAAATTGGTTTCAAGGGTAAACTAATTCCCAAGAGTATAAAATTCAACTATTGCAATATTCCAGTTGACTACTTCATTCCTTCCGTCAGGCTCTGCTATAATTGCGGCCGATTTGGTCACATCGCCAAATTCTGCAAAAGTAAGGAAAGCAGATGCCTGAACTGTGGCAAGTCACCGGCCTGTCCTACGGACTCATGCCTCTCAATCAAATGTCTAGGTTGCGGGTCGCTGGACCACAACGTAACATTTCCAGAGTGTCCAAAAAGAAAGAAAGAGGAAAATTTAAAAAAAATTTTAACCATCCAGAACTTTTCTTTTAGAGAATACAAAGAGAAATTCTCTAACAACCCATACAATTTACTTGAAAACTATGACGTAAACTTCCCAGCAACGAAGGACAGCAATGCTCCTAACAATATCAGAGACCCTACTATTGATACAAATAATATTTTAATTAACAAAAACTTCAATGCAGTTTTAAAAAATAAAACAAGTATTCCCAAGCCCTTGCATACAATGTCTCTCAAGACGTCCTCGACTTACAGTAACAAGTCGCAGGAGCCAAAATTACCATAAATCCACTGAAATGGAGATAATTCTGGAAAATATTTTCAGGATTCTCTCCATCTCTTCTCAAGAAGACATGCTTAACACCATCCAAACAGAAATAAGTTCCCTTAAATCAAAATTTGATCTTTTAAAACAAGGTACATCTGGGTCGGCCCTATCATGTTCTAACATTTCTCATGACCTCCTTCCTACAGTATAACATGCAAAGCTTCAGGCGTGATGCCCATTCTCTTGATTTTTTCATAAATTCCAACCGAACTGATTTCGCCATCTTGAGTGAAATCTTTCTGTCCGATAAAAAAATTTCCGATCTCAAAATCTCAAATTACAACTCCGCTTATAAATGTAGAAGTGACGGCTATGGAGGTGTTGCCATCCTTGCCAGAAAAGGCATATCCTTCAAACAAATCCCATTTAAATCGACTGCTGACATTGTCATTATCAAAACCTCTTGTCTAAAACCTAATATCGTCATTGCTGCTTGCTATTTCAAGCCCAACATCCCCATTCAATCTTTCCGGGATGACTTTAATCGTCTCTGTGATATGCTCAATAGTTTCCACAATGTCATAATTGCAGGAGATTTTAATGCAAGACACCCTTGCTTTGGTGACTCCGTGTCAAACAATAAAGGCAAAGCCTTGCAAGAAATCATTAAAGCTAGTAACTTCTATTGTCTGAATGATAATTCACCAACCTATTTTCACTCTACGACCAACAATTGTGGTAGCGTGTTGGATCTTACTTTCACTAACGCAACCCATCTCACATTCAAACGGGAGGTTAAAAAAGAAATTTTCCTGGGAAACAGCCACCACCTTCCTATTCTCTTTAATGCCACCTCTATTACCTCGTACAAGATAAATGACTTTTTCTCGAGGAAAAAACTCCTAAATAATCTTATTCACGTATGTCTTGAGCCACAGGTCGAATCTATCCAGTGCTCATTTCAACAAGAAATAATTAACGCCAAATCCGACATCCAAATCTCGAATTCCTACTCACCAAAACCTTGGTGGAACGAGTTGCTCACTTCACAATTCCGTAGATTACAGGCTGCTAAACAAAAATTTTCCAAATACCCCAATATTTCTAATTTTAATGATTTCAAGTTATCACAAAAAGAATGGAAGAAATCGATTAGAAAAGCCAAAAGATGCCACCGAGCCCTCGTTATCGAATAGCTGTGCTCAAATAGCAATACAAAGCCATTCTGAAAATTTTTAAATGGTCATCGCACCACAAAAAAGAAATACAAACACCCCATTTGGGATGATCTCAACAACAAATCCTACCTTGAATGGCTGAAAGCTCAAGTTCCCTCGACATGTGGTCTCCAAACCTCCTTACTTAACTCTCGGATGGAAAACATCTCTCCATTCTCCCTTGATGAACTCATGCACGTCCTTAAGTCGAAAAAGAAGTCCACAGCAGCAGGCCATGACGGAATCAAATATGAAATGATAGAGATCCTTCCCATGCCAAGCCTTCTAACCCTGCTATCTGCTATAAATGAGCGCTGGATGACCAACTCGTTTCCCACCGTTTGGCGTACAATTAAAATAGTGCCCATTCCTAAACCCGGAAAAGATCTTGAAATATTCACTAACTTCAGACCCATATCCCTCTTGCCTGTTCTTCTAAAAATTACCAACCAAATGATTAAAGAAAGACTAACAAAATTCCTGAATCACTCACACCTTCTCCCGTCAAGGTCCTTTGCTTACCAAAAAAATATCTCCACCGGTATATGCCTTAATGAAGTCCTTTTCACAATTGCAAATGAAAAAGCAAATGGAAACCAGGTAGTCATGCTTTGCTTAGACATTAATAAAGCTTACGACTGTGTAAACTTAGCGAAACTGGACCAAATTCTATCTGATTTTAAAATCCCGACACAAAATAGGCATTGGGTTCTCAACTTTCTTTCCTCGAGAACTCTCGTATTAGATTCACATACAGTCGAAGTTTGTGGAGGCTTACCTCAAGGTAGCTGTCTCAGCCCAGTTCTCTTCAATTTATACACAGCCGGTTTACATCAATTACAGGACAATTCTACCCATTTATTTCAATATGCTGACGATTTTCTCATCATCTCTGCTGGAAAATCATTAATGGAAGCAGTCAGTAACCTTGACACTAAAGCCAATCTTTTTCACAAACTTTGTGCAGACTTAAATCTAACTTTCAACCCGGAAAAATCAAAAGTCATTCGCTTTGCTAAGGGTCCCAAAAAAATTTTTTACATTACAATCAATGGTATAAAAATCAGTCCGTCTTCCTCTTTTAAATTTTTGGGCAGAATAATCAACTCAAGTCTAACCACGCATGAGCATTACAAGGATAGCCTCGAAAATTGCAACACAGGCTCAAATGTCATCAAACTTCTGACCAACATTCACACCGGACTCCCACCTAGGAAAGCATTAAACGTTTACAAATCTATTGTTAGATCCAAAATTGAATATCCCTACTCTACATCATGCAACGCTCCTGCGTATACATTAAAAAAAATACAAACCTTTCAACACTCAATCCTAAGACGTTGTACCGTTTTGTCCCCCTCAACACCAACATCAATTTTACGTTCCATCTCTTATGAACTCCCCGTTGCTAAGAGAATTTATCTTGTAACTGCAAAAGAACTTCTCAAGGTAAAAATCTTCAAACCTGCCTTCTTTGACGGGGTCGCTTCCAGACACAATCATGTCATCAGTAGTTACTCTAACTGCTTCAAAAAATTCAGTAACATCTTCAATAAAGTTAACTCAGTACCCTCCTGAAATAATATTATTCATGATAAATGCGTAGTTGAATTAAACTTACTTAATTCAATCACCAACTCAAAAAAAAATCGATCAGGGTCTTGTCTTCGAATCGCTTGTCTGCAAAAACTTAAGCACTTCGTCGAAAATAACTTCAAAATATACGCAACGGATGGATCTATCAATTCGGACATCTCTAGTTTTTCAATTATTGAATACCCAAACTTACTTATAGGAAAATTCAAAGTTCTACAAGAACTATCATCCACTTTCACTGAACTTCTGGCCATCAGACAAGCAATCATCCACGCATCTGAAATTAAGCTGAAAAAATTTGTAGTTTTCTCTGACAGCAAATCTGCTCTAATTTTAATCAAGAACAAAGACCCATTCAATAAGTATGTCTTCGATATCTACAACCTTTTAAAAGACCCAAGTATTGAAAAATGCCACATCATCTGGATCCCAGGTCACTGCGGTTTTAGTATCAATGAAAAAGCTGACTTCCATGCTCGTCAAGCTAGGTTCGATGGTACAGTTTTGTCCATAAACTACCCCCCCAGCGAAGCTTTTCTGCTAGTCAAAAAACTCATCATAAAAGAATGGAAAGATGAGTATCATGTTTTAGCTGGAGAAAAAAGTGACCGGCTGTTCTACAAAATTTACCCTTTTTTGACATCCACGCTTCTACCTAAAGGAAAATTCACAACATGGGAATTTAAAGTTCTTCACCGTCTTATGAGTAATCACACCTACGAAAAGGTCTATTTTAAAATGATCAAAGTCTCCTCCTCTGACATCTGTGAGGATTGCAATATTACTGAGTCTGCCGAGCACCTTATTTTTGAGTGCAGGAGGTTTGACATCCTTAGACAATCTTTCAGTGTATTTAACCTGTATAACAATCTATATGAAATTTTTCGTCCTGGTAACTTTAGGTATTTGAAGCAACTGACTGCCTTTATCAAATCAGCTGAGTTTTCATTCTAATTTTACATTTAGTATTTCTATTACAATCACGAATCGCCTACACTTTTTCTTTTATCGGCATTATTAGCCGGATCTTGACAGTACAGTACCAAGTACGGTGATTTATGGATTGACAGCGGAACAGAGCCTCTCATTGCGAACACTCTGCCACATCAGTCTACCTATGCTTAATTTTTTCATCAATCTCTCTCAACTTCGTTTCTGGATTATGGATGTAACATTAACTTAACTGGTCCAATCCATCTCTAAACAAACAAAAAAAAAAAAGGCGTTAGTAAAAATCTTTATCAGTAATTATATTTAATGTAAAATTGATTAAGAAAAAGAGGAAAAGAGCGACGTAAAACACAAAGAGCATCAAAAGAGAAATTATAGTAATTTTTTTCCAAATACATTTAAAAAAAATTTTGTTGAAATTTACGAAGAAAAATAATATCATATCAATCAAATAAAAGAAGAAGTGAATTTTTTGGAAGATTTACATGCAAAAGGCATAAAATTGTCATATTATTGGAAAAAGGGTAAGAAGAAGAACAAACAAGCAACCAAGAAAACGGCAAAGGAATTAATGTGCTTGGCACGAGCAAACAACAACAATGGCGGGTAAGTGAATACTCATCATAACCCATGTAAATCAGAGTACCGCAACCTAGTCCCTTAAAAACCGTTTTACAGAAAAAACCTTGGAAAAAAATTGCGGCGAATTGGCAGCAACAATCTCGGCGAGGTTTAAAATCGCGTTGTGTGCACGGTTATGAAGCGATCAAGACGCAAGGGACTATGGTGCTGGACGGAAAAGAAGGGTGTGAGAGAGTTGCTTGGCGAAATGGTCGAAGAGTTAAAAATAAGACAGCAAACATACTAGATCGGGAAGTTAATTTTTGAATTTTATTAACTGAAAGTGCTTAGGCAAAAAAAAAATAGAAGGATTAGTAAAGTTGTCTCTCAGAAGAAAAAAAGAAGTATTTTCAAAGAAACCCGAATATTTAGATATCACGGAATTGCAAAAAAATAATAATAAAACAAGGGGAACAGTGTTGATTTAAAAAGAAAAAAGAAAAAAAGACGAAAATATAAAAATCGAGAACCATAAGTGAAACTCGGGAATAATTAGATTTAATTTCTCGTAATTTGCGCTGATGTTTTTCCCAAAAGCGAAAAGAGATGTAAAAGACTTATCTGAAAAAAGGTCAAGAACGCATTCCAAATAAAAAAGGTGAATACGCATTCGATTTAAATTGTAATTATGTTTTATTGGATTAGAAAATTTTTGGTGATAAAAACGTTTTCTAATACTGAATAGCCGAGAATCAACTGCAATTAAATTCTGTTGAATTTCAATTAAAAGATTATATCAACAAGCGAAGTGAAGATCATTGTTTTGGGGTTCATTCGTTGCGGCGGTCGTCGTGCAAGATTTGCAAGATTTTGTTTGTTTTTTATTAAAGGAATGCGTGAAATTCTGAAAATATTAAATACGTTGCAAAGCAGATAAAAGCGCATAAATCTTTGTTATTCACATGTGTCTTCTGCTGAAAAGCGCTGGACGTTAAAAGGAATGTGTTTTATTTAAAAATTGGCTGAATATGTTGTGTATATGCTAGCTGGTTCCTTTGGAAAAAGTAATGAAAACAACAACAACATCATCAACAAAAACGCACGGTCTGTGGTAAAGAAAAAGAAAACCAGGGAAATCATAACGAAACCAGCCAAGATGTCCAAAAAACGAGCAAATAAAAAAAATCCTTTTGTTTGAAATAAGCAGAGAAAAATTTTAACAATTTTCTTTTCTTACAGGTACTAGCGAAAAGTGTGTTAGAAGTGAAGAAAAACGCCCGCACCACCACCATCACCATCAACAAAACAGCAACAACAGTCTCTAAAACAATTTAAGCCATCCCATCCACCTTATGTCCCAGTGTCGTTGAAACCGTAATAACCACTCGAACGGTAGACGACAGAAGTGTGGGTATTATAACCGTACCATTACACTCTATTTGAAATTCTCCGAGGTCTTTTGCCTAGTTCGTCGATCGCGGCATTTACCGCTAATAAGGAAGGGAAACGTCCCCTCCTCTACCATCACCAACCACAAAAGCAACAACAACAGGTGAGAAATTAAAAAAAAAAAAGTAGGAAAAATTTAACCGTATCGTGAGGAAAAAAAAGTTAAGGTAGAGTTCTCCAAACATAATGAGACGTAGTTATAGAGTATTTTTTTATCAGTAACCTCTCTATATTTCGAACTCCAACGAGAGATTTAACTTCCCAATCTACTAGATGTGAACGTTGTGATTTTGTATTGCTCAAGATAAATAGATGTTAAAGCCTAGTAAATTTGATCACCGTTCTGTTTTGGGAAAGTTAGCTCTAAATTACGCATAATAACTATTGTTAGTGGAACAATAGAAGCAATTTCTTGGAGTTTCTCCTCAACTACGAAAACTAAAATTTAGTTATGCGGTGGTTTTTTCCACGTTGTAACACGTTATAAGTAGGGTTTTGCTAAACATAACCGGTCACGTTGTCTCTCATACCCACCGTCAGATCAATACTATTTAAATAAAAAAAAAAAAAAATTTTTGAGCTCGCTTCAAAAGAATTTTTAAATCATCTACTACTACCACCGCAACAAACAACCAACCAAGCGCATAACGCATTTCTTAATCCGATCCCTAAAGCGGTTCAACATTGTTAGGGCTCGAATAAAACTAGGAAAGCATAAATCGTAATTGAAATCCTCGGGAAAGCCCGTGTTTCCTAGATATTACGAATAAATTTTTTTTTTGTTTTAAGTTAAAATCTTAACGCGATCTTGTTTACTCCCCACACCCATTTTAACTTACTTAACTCTAGACGGGAGGGAGTAAACGAAAATACTGTTATGTAATTCGCTTTTATGAGATACAGTCCGTATCACTAGATGGCAGATATTTTGATCAAGAAAAACACACTTCGAAGTTCTTTTATTTACAATTATATT